TCCCATGATTGTAGCCAACTTTCTTTTCACTTGACACTCTCACCTTGGCTGTCAGCCATTTACACGGTTTTAGCTGTTTAGTATATTGATGATTTCCAAATCTTTCCCTACACCCAGACCTCTGTTCTGAGCTCCATATTTATATGTCTGGCACTCTATTTAACAGTTCCACCTGGGCCATCTGAAGCTAACGTACTCTTCCTCCACGCTGTCAACTACCACCACTCAGAAACCCTTGAGCGTTTTGTTTTGTATCCACAGTTCTTGTGAGTGGCACCTCCGCCTGTCTACTAGGTTAAGCCAGAAACATGGGTGTCACCTCAGCAGGCTCTTCCTCTCCTTTGTTGCTTATCTCCCAGGTCAGGGGTCAGCATCTAACTGGAGGCCTGTGAGCCAAGAATGGTTCTTACATTTCTGAGTTGTTTAAAACAAACATGTATGTGTATTTGTTATAGAGGCCCTCTGTTGTCTGCAAAGCCTGTGTATTTACTATCTGACTGCTGTCCTAGGTCTTAGGACAAATCTTATCAGTTCTCCCTCCAAAACATCACTTTTGTTTTTATCTCTCTATCCTCACTGGCCCTTGCTCCTCCCCATCTCACTTGCTCTGTTTCTCTCTTGGCCCCCTCACTAAGTGTTGTCAGATTTCTTTATAAAACACAAAAACCTAATGATGTCCTTTCTCGTTTAAAATCCTGCAGTGTATTTTGCCCTTTTCTCTTTTTATTTTCTTCCTACAACCTCTTCAGCCCATAGGACTCTGCTCAGTGGTCACCTTTTCCATTAAGCCCACCTGTCTCCTACAGTTATGCCCATATTCCACCTGGTTTGTACTTCTGTTATTGCACATTCTAGATTGTGTTCTGAGAGCCCATTTACCATTCAGTCATCCCTGTTCCACTATGTACACTTGGAATTCAGGTTTCATTTCCAGTTTATTTCTACATCTTCTTTACTTAGCTGTGTGTGGCATCTCAGAGGACTGTAATGAATACATACAGTGAGTGCTTTAAGGAGCTTAGTTCCTTAGTTCTTAGTTCCTACCATACAAAAAAATATTGGTGAAGATTTAATTAATCAGTTTGAGTTGGTTGCTGTTCAGTCGCTCAGTCATGTCCAACTCTGCAGCTCCATGGACTGCAGCATGCCAGGTTTCCCAGTCCTTTACCACCTCCCAGAGCTTGATCAAACTCATGTCCATTGAGTTGGTGATGCCATCCAAACATCTTGTCCTCTGTCGTCCCCTTCTCTTCCTGCTTTCAATCTTTCCCAGCATCAGGGTCTTTTCCAGTGAGTTGGCTCTTTACATCAGGTGGCCAAAATATTGGAGCTTCACCATCAGTCCTTCCAATGAATACTCAGTGTAGCTTTCTTTTAGGATTGATTGGTTTGATCTCCTTGAGTCTCCAAGGGACTCCCAAGAATTTTCTTCAATGACGCAGCTCAAAAGCATCAATTCTTCAGCGCTCAGCCTTCTTCATGGTCCAATTCTCACACTCATACATGATTACTGGAAAAACCATAGCTTTGACTATACTGGATTACTGATTTTATAAATTATCCATTTTCTTCTCCAGGAGATCTTCCCAGACCCAGGGATCGAACCTGTGTCTCCTGCATTGCAGGCATATTCTTTACCACTTGAGCCATGGAGGAAACACCTATCTGTCTTATACTTTGAATGAATTATTACTAGTGTATAATTTTTTTTAAAACATCATTCATTGGTCATTTGAAAAATATTGAGTCAGTATGTTAGGTACATCTTTCAAATTATGACACATTTCATTATACATTAGCAAAAGTTGTATTTGCTAATCTCACATTCAGTCTCATAAGAAAAAATGCTAAGTATTGGAAAGCTGTCAAGCTTAAGTATTCCAAAATTTTTATTTTTGCTTTGAAATTACCACCAGTTCACTGAAGTTTATGATTGTCATCAATGCTGGTGGTACCAAGCTCACTTGGTTAATTTTTAAGAGAATGTCTGCCAGATACTCAAGTCTGAAAACCATAGTTTGTCCATCAGTTCAAGTAGAAATGATGTTAAAGTGGGAACGGTGTATGGGTGTTAAGTGCTCTCAGGAGGTAGCCACTGACATCTGTTGGGCATTAATTCTGGCCAAACTCTGTCGTCCCTGTTCAGTGAGGTTGCTGGGGGAACAAGATCCGCAGGCCTCATGCTGTCCCTTGCAAGGTGACTCGCCACTGTGGCTTCGTGTTGGTGTGCCTCATCCCTGTCTCCAGGGACACTGGCATCATCTCAGTCCCTGTGCCCAAGAAGCTACTGATGATGGCTGGAATTGACCTTCGCTGCATCTCCATCCTGCCATCACTGCCATCCTGGGCAACTTTGCCAAGGCCACTTTTAACGTCGTTTCCAAGACCTACAGTTATCTCACCCCTGATCTCTGGAAAGAGTCAGTGTTCACTGAGTCTTTGTTTGAGCCTCCGTATCAGGAATTCACTGACCTTCTTGTAAAGACCCACCCCAGAGTTTCCGTGCAAAGGACCCAGGCTCCAGCTGTAGCCACCACATAGTTTTATATGAGAAAAATAAAGTGAATAAAGCCAGTTTAGAAAAGAAAAAAGACAGCCAGTTCAGCTCAGAACTGTGTATAAGTGCTTTTCCTTGAGACAACACAGAACATTAGAAAGATGTGGACTCAGGGATCAAGATGTAATAAAACCAGTATCTTCCACCGTACGTGCATGGCCTAAGTCACCACTGCCTTGGTTTGTGCTAAGTCTCCAGCCATTTTATTCACCATTGCTTTTATGCTATGAGAGCAAATAACTTGAAAGTATGAATTTTGAGATCCATTGTTATGGATGAAGAGCAAAAGTTTAAAATATAAAATAGCCTTTCACACAGTAAAAATGGCAAAACATCTTTTAATATCATTATTGAAGTATTTTACACTTTCTGGACCATAAGTTCTTGCGGGACCCCCAGAAATCAATGGATCACATTTTGGGGAACTGCTTATTTACAGTAGTTTGTGGCTTGACTTGTTTCTTTCTCTTATCTCAGATTTCTTCTATTTGCGTTTATTGTTACTGAGATAGACCCTACAGATGTGCTGATCTGGGTAGAATACCATTCCTGGTCACAGCTCCACTTTGGACTGGCAGCCTCTGCAATAGAACAATACCAGAACTGACCCTGGGCACAAAAGGGACCGGTTCACAGCCTCACCTTGGCCTTAGGAACACAAGCAGCAGGGAAGGGCCATAAACCTGCTAGCCTTGTTGGCTTGCTGTGTGTACATTCAGAAACTGGTCACATCACATGGACCTGAGTCCAAAGGGAGACCTTAACTGTGAGTCAAGTACTTTCCTTCTGAAGGAGTCTTTCAGGCTCCAGGGCGGGAGAGGTTCTCAGGCTGAAATGGGCCCTCCGTAGGTCTCTCAGACCTACACTCTCTAGTCCCAAAGCTTCTGAGTCATATCACAGCCTTTTCATTCTTATCATCTCCAGGAAAGGGTCTCCAGATATCCTGGCTGTAATAAAACTTAGGAGTTGAGGTTTTTCCTTTTGAGTATTCTCGATGCTCCCTTGTGAAACTTAATTCTATTTCCTTTAGTGTTGTTTTTAATAAAAATAGCCAATAAGAGTGCGCCTCATGCTACTGCTTTATATTCTGAAGACAATTTATTTTGCTGTATCTTCACTTCAATCTGTTTTAGCCGTTTTTTTTTTTTTTTCTTTTTTTCCTTCTAATTTTTAATCTGGTTCCTTTAATCCAGCAGTCCTGAACTGGGGTGATTTCGCCCCGCAGTGGACATTTGACAGTGTCTAGAGGCGTTTTTGATTGTCACGACTTGGGGGGTTGGTACTGGCATCTGCTGGATAGAAATCAGAGAGCTGGCCTTCATTTCAGCAAAATCACTCATTATGTTGTTACAGTAAGATTTTCACTGAAATTATATTTGGTTGATAGGAGTAGCCGACAATGCATAGCCTCTATCAACTAAGAATCATCCAGTCCAATATGTTAGCAAGATCAGTCTTAGAAGACTGTATTTTAGGCCTTCCTTGTAATTTGTTAGCTTTTTATTGTTTTTTTTTTTTCTGAATTAACAATATGATTTTACTTTGCATATTATCTAGAATTGTAGTTTTATTTAGAGAAAATATTTTGGTTATGTTCAGAATAGTAAAAGCTTTTAGAGGTAGGTTACTCTTTTGAATATGACTTATGTTTGTACCTCAGTTCATAATACATAATTTGTTTCTAAGCCTGAGTAAGTGCAACTACCTGATGACTTTTTAAAAAATACAGGTTTATGGGCCCCAACCAAATCTTAAAAGAACTCTTCTAGAAATTCCTGTAAAATTCCAGACTTGGAAACCGCTGAAACAGATATGTATTCATAAACTAAGAAACATTTAGAATAGCTACTGCAAAGAGAAGATGGTCTTTGTGGCTCTGAGAGATAACATCCACCCTCCTGGGCAACCAGTTCTGGCAGTGAAACCAGTCAGGTAACCCTCCTATTGGCAAGGTAGAACCGGAGCAGCGGTGTCCTTAAAATTTTGGCTCTTTCCAGTCATATGGTGTCCAGTTCATTTTACTTGCCACAAGTTTGGTTTTAGAAGCGGTTGGTAGGGAAAAGAGATGTGGGAAAGGATGGAGGAGAGTTGTATAGTAGAATCAGAGAGATATGATCTACCTTTTGTCTCAGGAGGGGAATTACTCAGTGCTGATTTCTCCTCAGTAGCACTCATTTGCTACCCACATTCACCACAGTGGTTAAGTGTCTTTAAAAGCTACTTCTGGTATAAATTAATCTGACCAAGGCAGCAGGGGGCTCTGGGAAGCACAGAGGACTGTCCACTCCATTCCCACCAGCAAGGATACTCTGGCCTCAGTCCTTTGTTCTCCTCCTCCCTACTTCTCTTTCTCCCTTCTCCTCCTCTGCCTCCCCCTCCCCCTGACCAGGGATCAGCCTGCACTGGAAGCAGATAGTCTTAACCACTGGACACGTCCCAGTCCTTTACTTTTTTTGCTAAAAGAGAAGTTAATGAAGATGAGCTTGTTTGTTGTGGTGGTCCAAGAGCTCTGGAGGTCAGACATTTGTTGAGGAAGGAAAGAAAAGCTGATCACTGTTATTTTACTTCTTTCTTTTTCTCTTCATTTTTGAGGCTCACATGATACCTTTAATAGTGATAGAGGCAGAGCTTAGTGTGGGTGCCAGCCAGCCTGCATCCGAACCCCCTGAGTCAGGCAGTAGTGACCCTTTGTCTCAGACTGCACTGGGGGACCTGGGCAGGCCTCATGCGGTAAGATACGTGGTCAGTGGGGCAGGCTTGATCCTACAAAGCAGACAAGAGAGAGGGTTATTTTTGAAATAAAGTGAATTTTGTTTGGAAGGATAGGAGCTTCCTTTCCTAAGCAAACTAGAATTTTGGAAATGAAAAAAATTATGAAATATTGGGGCATATTAATTTATATTGGAAACATAAAATAAATATTGGTTATATTTTAGTGTTCTGGATTTCTTTTATTAGTTTTTACTTTTTTTGAATGGAGATTTTCAAATACATTTCAGAGTAGAGAGACTAGTATAGGGAATCCCGTATACTGATTACCCTAATATCAATAGTTACTAACACATGGCCAGTCTGATTTCGTCTGTACCCATACCCACTTTCTCTTGCCCTCTTCAGTTATTTTAAAGCATATCAAGTATCAGTATGCATTTTAATGTAGAAATATATAAGGTACTCAGTCTGTGGTCACATTTCCTCTGATTATGTAACTTTTTTTCCCATTTGGTTTGTTGTCTGGTCTCTTTTTTAAAGATGCTGATGATCTGATGATTGATCAAAATCCTGGGAATGTGTGGAGAGTCTGTAATCTTCTGTTTTGGTGGGAGAGTGGACATTTACTTATATTAGATCAGTGATTTCCCAAATTGATATTACAAACCTAGTTCTTGGTATAAATTTGAATAACAACATTGACTGAAGGAAGTATTGACCATGTACGGGAAGTCGTAACTGAAATTCCATGTTGACATAACCACGGTCTGAAATGGGGTTCATCACTGTCAGGAGCCCCAGCTTTTAAGTTTGCTTCCTCAGGTTCTAAGAAGAGTGCTTCATGCCTTTCCCTCAGACCTTACAGACTTCTGTTCTCTCAGCTGACGGCTTGGTTTGGTGCTTGCCTGAGAAAATAAGAAGCTGCCTAGAGGGACACCCTCATTTGCCCTCCTCCTCATCCAGAGAGTTTTGTTCTGGCAGCGGGGCCACTCTTCTCTCATTTCCCTCCGGCTGGATGTAACTGAACAAGTGCTTGTGTCGTCTCCCGACCCTCCACCCCCACCACCGTCCTTCCCTCCGCCCTGAGCGCCCCACCTCCTTCCCAGGGACCTTGTTGCTTCTGTGGTCCCCTCTCTTCTCTCCCGCCCTCAGGTTCCCCCTGTCTGCTGGAGCATCCCTGGTAGTGTACAGATAGGCTCTGGTGCACCCCATCTGTAGAAAGAAACTGTCCCTTGTTAAATTCCCCTCTCCTGATTCTTAGTGGCCCATTTTTTCCCTCCCCTTCACGGTTAAACCTTTCAAAAGAGTTGTCTATTCTTTCTTCTACCTTTTTTCTCTTCCATTCACTCTTTGAACCCCTCAACACTGGCTCTGTTGCTCACTGCTTCATCGAAACCATTCTTGCCAAGAGCCCCCAGGTCCTCTGTGATGGAATCCAGTTGTTTTCTTTCTGTCTCATAGACCAGTCCTTCTCCTCTTTTACTGCCTCCATGCTCTGCGTGACCTCTAAGTGCTGGAATGCCTCCAGGCTCAGTTTTGGGCCTTGCTTCTCTTTATTTGTATTCCTTCCCCTTGGTCATTTCACTTACTCCTGTGGCTTTAAGTATCATCTTTATGCTGATGACTCCTGAGCATGTAGCTGCAGCCCAGACCTGTCCTCTGAGTTCTACCTGGAGATCAGGAACCTATGACTCAGGCTTCATGGGTGCAAAACAAAGTTCTGGCTTTCCCCCCTCAACCCTTTCTCATTTCAGTTAGTAGATCCTGATACACCCAATTGCACAAGTCAGAAACTTGGAAATCATCTTCCCTGTCTCCGTCCAGCCCATCAGCATGTCTTATCAATTCTACCATACACCCATCTCAACTATCTTCACTTCTCTTTGTCTGTATTTCACCACTAAATTACTATCATTTCTCAACTGGAAAACTGCTTAAGTTTCCTAATTGGTCCTTCTGCTTTCATTTTTGTCTTCTATACACTGTTCTGCTCACAGGAGGTACAATGCTCTATGAAAAGCACAACCATATTATGTAACTCCTTGCTTAGTCCTTAATGATGGCATTTCATATAGGATGAATTATTGACTCCTTAGCATAGCCTTCAGGGTCCTGCCTGATTCTCCAGCTTTGTCTACTGCTTTCCCCTCCCTCACTATGCAGGGCAAACTTGCCTGTTTCACACTGGGATCTCTCATGCCCCAGGGCCTTGACACTCACTGTTCCTTTTCCATGGACTCATCTGTTCCTGACTCTTGTTCTTACTGTTCTTCAGGCTGCAGCTTAAATGTCACCTTGTCTGACAGCCCTTTTCTGATCACCCTTCCCAAAGTGCCTACTTGCCCATCTTAGTGTCTTCTCGTCACATTACCTGTTTTTTTCCAGCAAATATTTATGGAGTGCCTAGTCTGTGCCTGACACTGTTCTAGGCATGGGGTAGATAGCAGTGAGCAAGGTAGATACACTCAGGAAGCTTATAGCTAGTGGGCAAACAGACGAACCACAAATATATCATATTCTGATGGTGATCTGTGCTGTGTAGACAAATGAAGCAGGTGGAGTGAAGTGAGGGATGGTGTTCTAGACAGTGGTTAGAAGAGGAGACATTTTGACAGGGGTTCCAGGGAAGTGAGAGAACCCCACCTCAGGTGTGTGCCGCTTTTCTAGGACTATATATAGAAATACAAGCTCTAAGAGGCCAGAGGCCTCACCTGCTCACCAAAGTTCCTGAAAGCTCACACAGTGCCTGACCTTTGGTAAATACTCATCAATGGGTGGATGGCCTTTGGATTTCCACGTAATTGTGGCATTCTGGGAACCACGTAGCATTCAGGATGTGGCCCACTTAGTTTGTCTCTGTGGGCTCCAGTCTTTTCATGTGTTGAGTGAAGGAATCCAGCTCAGGGAGTGAGCTCTGAAGACTGCCAGCCTCTCTCTGGATGCTGTGGATGTGCCCTGTTCCTGGTTTCACTGAAATGGTGAGAAGATTGCACAAGAGTTCAGTGTTCACATAAAAACAAGATTTGCACTTAAAGTTATGTCAGCTACAGCCCTGAGTAGAATGGCCTGGAGGAGGCAAGAGGGTGGGTTATTTTGGAGGATGTGGAGGGGCTGGACAGGTCCAGGCAGGAGCTGAAGGTGATCTGGACTCAAGAGGTGGCCACAGAGATAGGGAGAGTGCTGAGGAAATGGTGGAACTTCCCCAAACTTGCACAGAATTGAGGCGAGAACCCAGACTTCATAGTCCAGCACTTTCACTCTACAACTTCTCTTGATGAAAATGAAGTGAAAATGTTGGCTGCTCAGTCGTGTCCGACTCTTTGGAACCCCTTGGACTGTAGCCCACCAGGCTCCTCTGTCCATAGACTTCTCCAGGCAAGAATACTGGAGTGGGTAGCCATGCCTTCTTTCAGGGGATCTTCCTGGCTCAGGGATCGAACCCTGGTCTCCTGCATTGCAGACAGATTCTTTACTGTCTGAGACATCAGGGAAGCCCACTTCTCTTGATACTTAAAATGTCTTTGGGAATTCCCTGGTGGTCCAGTGGTTAGGACTCCACCCTTTCACTGCCAAGGGCCCCAGGGTCAATCTTGGTTGAGGGACTAAGATCCCACAAGCCACACTGCTTGCCCACCTCCCCCCTACAAAAGTCTTGATGTCAGCCTGATAGAAAAGTTGAAATGTATGAATATGTGTGATGCTAGTGAGTTTAGTTAGAACAAAGACTGCTTTTCAGAAAACATTATAAATGTTTATATCAAAATTTGCCCATGTGAAAATGTGTTTTTGGTTATAGTATGTGCATCTTTGTACAAGTTCTCAGCAAAGAACTTGACTGGAAAACAGGAGAGGGAATGGTGTTTTCACTGTATCATTGGATTTTGAACCACAGGTCAAGGTATGATAAAAGTAAGTAGTACACATCAGGTGAAACTGAAGCTGGTCTACTCTTAGGTTTCTCACTTTTCCAGATGTAGCCACACTGTTTTCAAACGAGTGACCTTAGGAAGGTGTCTTTCTTCACACCAGTTGGAAATATGTCAAGCCAATTGACTTCTAGATAAAATTGGAACTTGACACAAAGTTGAAGTCCTTGTCTCTTCTCGTACCCTTTTCCAGTCCTCAGACTCATGTATAGTATGTACAACATGATAGTTTAATATACGTGTTCCCTTGTCCTTTTAAACTCTGTGGATGTTCTGTTATTGACACCTAGTCTTTAGGCCACCCTCTTGTTTCACCCTTCATTTGCTCTGTGGACTTTATTAAAATATTTACATGATGACTAGTTAATTAAATTACTTTTTACGCTTTACTCTTATGACTTGGTGGGTACCTCTGTCACCTCTTCTCTCTCCCACCAAGACCATCAGAACCTTGGCTGGGGATTCCCTGGGATTTGGGGCATCAGTGGGGAAAGGGGTACCTGAACTAGGGGAATGTGGACCTCCTCACAGCTCACACTTGACTCTGCTCCCCAGATTCCAGTGCCCCCCACTACCAGCTCTCCTCTCTTCATCCTTGATGTGAAGACAAAAGTGATTCAGGCTGTCCACCAATTCTTGGTCTCTCCCACGAGGCCCTTTGTTCATTATGTCCCCATGTTTGTCTTCCTCTTGGCACCTTTCTTCTGTTCAAAAATTTTCTGTAAATTTTCTCCCTCTTTTTCTTTTCTTCACTTAAAAAAAAAAGGTTTGCTTTCAGTTCAAAAAAAAAAATAATTACAGTTACCTTTTGACCACCACTTCTTTCGGCTATCTGTTCTATTAAAGGTTATGGAGGTATCTTTGATGAGAAAGGAATATTTTTCATGGGACAGTTTGTTAGATTCTGTCCAAAATAAGACTAATATCTTACTATTTTAATTAATAGAGGTGCTTAGAAGTGTCTCATAGGAAGTTGCTGGTACTGTTGAACTAGTTCAAGCCTAGTCTCTGTTTTCAGATTTTCTTCTCTCCTTAGTGTCCTTTATGCTTGGAGGTCTTAGGTGGGAGCAGCAACCCTAAAAATACTTAACCTTTTCCACTTCATTTTTGAAAGCTGGAAATTCACATAAACTTTGCCTGCCACCCGTACTTCTCTCTTCTGCTCTCCCTACAGATTCTTTGAAGTTTTCTATTTCCTTAATCAGATATTGCAAGTGTTCTGCCTACAGTTCTGTTTTGAGGTCCATCAGAGAGTAGAAGAACAAGTTGTACTATACTTTAAACTCTGTCCTAGTTGTGTTTGAAAACAAGCTATAGGAAAGAAATTTTGAGGAAAAAAAATGTCTCTTGGGACCATTGACTTTTATAAAAATGTAATTCTTAGAATTTATTTTGGTAGCTATAGAATACTGATGAATGAAAGCAAAGCTAGGCATAAATGTTCAGTTACCCAGACCCTCACCCTGCAAAAAGAGAAAACTAACCTTGAAATAATACATTGGTAGATATTCCCAGGTGATGCAGTGGTAGAGAATCCACCTGCTAGTGCAAGAGATGCGGGTCTGGAGAAGGAAATGACAAGCCCCTCCTGTGTTCTTGCCTGGAAAATCTCATGGACAGAGGCCCCGGGTGGGCTGCAGTCCATTGGGTAGCAGAGTCAGACATCACTGAGCATGCACACACAAAATAGCTTTAGAAATTTTGTTAGTGTCGGTACTTATACTGTACTGTACTTACACAAGATTCAGAGTTCCAAATGGATGTACAGTAGTTATTTCCTTACTAGTCACATCACTGAAGGTCAGGAGGATCTTTTTTTAAGTAATGCTACCTGAATGAGATACCTTTCTGTTCCCTGAGTTGTGGAGAACAGGCATCCATGACAAGACCATCCTGACTAGAATTCCATCTTTAACCCAGATGCTATGTGTATGGCCCCTATTGTCCATCTGAATTTTGTGCCTGTTTCTGTAGAGCATTCTAAGTGTGGAGGGTGGAGTGGGGACTGGTGACATGAAGTAACATATCAGAGAAACTCTCTTAATGTTCAGAATTTGTAGTATTTATGTTAAAGCAGTTGAGGACTTTTGAAGTCATGTGACCGAGTGAAGTGACTGCTACATGTCTGTTAATTTAAAATTGTATTAGTCCAGCTGGTTGACTTAAAATGGCTGAACTTCTTAGCAAGTAACTGCCCTAAAATAAGATAAAGCTGGGGGTAACAGACTTCCATTTTCTCTAGGGTGATGAGAAACATTGTTTCTGAAGATGTGATAATTTGAGCTGAGACCTGAAATGATGAGAGGAAGTCCATTTATGAGAAAATCTAGGGAAGATGTGTTCTGGGCACAGGAAATCGGTGGTGGGGGGTGGTGGTCTGCAGAATTGATGTGTTGGAGGAAGTGCAAAGGGTGCAAGGTCCGTGAGTTAAAAGGGTGGTGATGGGATCTGTAGATACAGGTGAACAGGGGCTCTTCTGGGCCAGAGGAGGATTCTTCATGTTACCTAAATTTTAAACAACTGAGTGGTTTAACACCATCAGAACAATTGAGTGATTTAACACTGCAAATATGTGCTAATCAGGAGTAATTATTTTCTGAGATTCTCATGCTGCTTTCTTTCTTTCTCCTGACTTGCAACTGGTGAAAGTAACGTGCTGGAGGAGATAGAGTAATGTTTAACGTGTGGTTTCTTTCTCTTAAAGGAAGGAAGGAAAGGTGGCATTTGTCGCCCCCACTGGAGAAACGACTGAGGTTCACAGCTGTGGGCCAAGGAGTGACTCACTGGGTTGTTACAGTACCTGTTACTGGAGGATCATTACTGTGATCATTTCCAGTGAAAACTTTTTTTTCCCCCTTTAATAGGAATTTAGGCTTTAATATAAAAGTATAGATTGATCACATTTTAATGTTATAAAATTTTAGTCTGTTTATGGACCAGAGCCCACATAGGAAATTCCTTTTCAAATAGTAGGAACTTAATCATTTGTCTCATTTCTCCACAAAGGCTTGGCCAGATGCTGCTGGCTGAACTTAATGCCTCATTGTTGCTGCTGCTGCTAAGTCGCTTCAGTCGTGTCCGACCCTGTGCGACCCCGTAGACGGCAGCCCACCAGGCTCCTCCGTCCCTGGGATTCTCCAGGCAAGAATACTGGAGTGGGTTGCCATTTCCTTCTCCAAGGCATGCATGCATGCTAAGTCGCTTCAGTCGTGTCTGACTCTGTGCGACCCTATGGACAGCAGCCCACCAGGCTCCTCTGTCCACAGGATTCTCTAGGCAAGAATACTGGAGTGGATTGCCATTTCCTTCTGCAATGCCTAATTGTTGAACCTGAAGCTATTCTAAGATTTTATTGTATTGATCTTTTTCTTTCTCCATCTGGTGTGTGTTATTTTAAATCTTTTACTTTTTTCTGTTTAGCAGGTAACTGAATTTCAGTCTGAGCTAAAACTTTAGATTTATGCTTTTCCTACAGCCTTTCTCAACCTTTCTACTCTTGCTGAAATTAAAACTCGTACACTAATTAGAACTTATGTATAGCTTTAGACTTAATGTCATGGTATTGAATATTAAGACCAGAGCTGAATTTAGTCTTCGAGAAATGTAGAACACTTGACTTTATGGTAAACCCAAAGCAGCAGCTATCATTAAAGGTATGTTAGAGGGGCTACAGTCCATGGGACAGCAAGTCGGACACTACTGAGTGACTAAACCACCAGTCTTAGAAATGACTCCACCCATTTTGCATATGAAAAAGAACCTATCAGAGATCAGTGAATCACCTAAGGCCACAAATGGAGATGTTGTGTAGGCAGTATCAGGAAAATCAGTAGTTCCTGTTAGGAACACACCCCTTTGTTTCAACTCTTGAGCTGCTGGATTCCAACCAACCCTTCCTAAGTGGCGCTAGTGGTAAAGAATCCACTTGCCAGTGCAGGAGATGCAAGAGACTCTGGTTCCATTCCTGAGTCAGGAAGATCTCCTGGAATAGGAAATGTATTCTTGGCTGGATAATTCCACCGGCAGAGGAGCCTGGCGTGCTCT